ATATTTTATTAAAAAACTACCGTTTTCACTGTCAGAGCCAGCGAAAATCCATTGAATATATTTATATGTATGTCTGCTGCATAGAACCAAGTCACTCTCTTGTTTATGTGTAAGTGAAAAGGCAATTTCAATTTTACTCTTCAAGTAGGCTTCTTGTGAGAAATAATTTAATATTATTATATATATGTAAATATAGTTTTAATTATTTTTTATGAATGATAATAAAAAATTAATTAAGGTGATATTTATATTTTGCTGTTAACGTCTGCATACTGGCGGCCGATTGAGACATGCTGGGCAATTAGCAGGAACCACTTCGAATCTTATTATCGTCGAGTGTCGCTGTGAGAGAGAATGAAATTAATATGAAAAAGTGCATACATACGAGGGTTGCCTTTTTATTTTTCTTGATTAAGGAACAAAAACAAATATTAATTATCGAAAATCGCTTTATTGCTTTTCGGAAAATTCTCTATTAAGTTCTATACAATTTTGCATGCGAAAATTGGTTCGAAGCACTTTTTGCCTCCCTGTTTGAGGTACCTCCAAAATATGCATTTTAATCGCATTCTCGACTCGGCTCCGACGTCACTCTCGACAGTCATGACATTGATGTCCTAGATCACTTCGTCTCTCTTGGAACTAGTATTAATACCAACGAAGAAACGGCTGAATTACTCTCGCCAACAGATGGTACTTTGGACTTAGTAGGCAGTTTAAATGTAAAGTTCTTTCTCGACGAACGAAACTCAAACTCTACAAGTGCGACAGGTTTTGCATAAGATTTATGGCGCTCTACGAGTTGGGAACGGCGGCTACCGCATGGAATGACGGGGCTTAGCGAATAAAGAGACAGCGCTTATGCTGGTCAGGTCATGCAGTTCGTATAGATAAGAATTCTCTCTCTTTGAATGTATTCGATGCAGTACCCGTTGGTGGAAGACCTCCAGAGAGGAAGACCTCCACAACGTTGGAAAAGTAGAGAAGGTTCTGTTTGTATTTCCAATTGTCGCCTCATGGTGAAAAGAAGAAATGAATGGCGTAATATTGTTAACTCGGCTATAATCGCAAACGTATTTTCTACGCCAGTAAGGAAGAAGGAGAATGAAAAGAAATCACACGCTGATAAGTCGAGTCTAAACAGTGGATGACTCATCAAATCAATGTTTCCGGTACTCAGAAACTCACTTGTTTGAGTTGATGTGTGAGAGCTTGCTTTATTGTGGTGAAGAGTGATCTACTATCGGCAAAGAAATGCTCGGAATTCATTGTTCTGCGTTGTACTTGTGGTGCTCAGTTGTAGGCCCGCATACAGTTTGCTTTCGGGCTCTTACGCATGAATCTACTACCTGTCACGACGCCACAGACGTGCTGCGACGCACGACTGATTTTGAACGACGTTCATGAATCTCCTCTTGGAGTGATCTACGACCTTGATTCACCTCGTTCACCAAACCATATCGATAAACACTGGTCCTTAATGGAGCTTCTTCGCCTGAAATGCACTTTTTTTATTAAACAACACGAGTAACGCGCGTGTGCCAAATCATTCTGAGTATTAACTGCATCAAAGGTGTCAAACTTTACGCTAGGGTTGCCAAATCCCCAAAATATAACAGGCGACCCTCGTACAAAAATAATGTATTGTGCTTCAAGAGCGTCGTTTGTATGTGTTAAAAAATATACATTATTGTTCTTTCAACTATACAACTCATTAATGACGAATTTCATGAATATTTAATTGTTCACACACACACACACACACACACACACACACACACACACACACACACACACACACACACACAAACACACGAGCACATAGTTGGGTGTTGCAGCATTGCAACGGTGACATTATTAAAAATATTTCAGCATTGGCTTATTGCCAATTCATTTAACTGCTTTCGCTGCAAACTTTCCACGTTCAACATGCAACCGCTGGCGGAGTTTACTTAAGAGCAGTCAATCCCTAGAATTTCGCTTTATTTCCCACTTAAGTACACACATTACCAGGTGGGCCAGGTTTGCACTTATGTATGTGCATTAATATATTCTCCTTAAATCGCATCTGCTATTATTGTAAACTGCAGTCTATGGATTAACTGCCATCAGACAGTAGACTTCAGTTGCATTCCCTTGGCGGCATTGTTTACTCAGTCGAGCTCTACGGTCCTTTGGTGTTTTTAATATTTCATTTTCATTTCGTGTTTTCTCTCTCATACCTCCTTTTTGATATTTTATATGCGGTGAAAAGTGCACTAAAAAATGAAGTTATTATTTTTTTTCTTCCTTAATATAACGATTGGGTATAAGCTAACGTTGTTGGTAGACTTTTATGTTTGCTTGAGGAGTAAAGAAATTCTCTTGGAGAGAGCCGAGAGAAGAAATACCGCATTTCTCGTAACTCAGCGATCGAACGCAAAAGTACCGAGTGCTGGAAAAGGAAGGGAAGCCCTTTTTCAGACAGCGAAGGAGAGAGTCTGAAGTGCGCGCGTATGAAGAACTTAAGGAAATAACTAAAAGCGTGTAAGGAAAATGCCACGAAAATTTATTGCCCTAGCCTTCTAAGTGTATTAAAAATGAAATACCTGGGGATGGCGTACCAGAAACCTTAATCGAAAACGATGATATTAACGTTCCATCAACCGATTATGATGCACTTAAACCCTGTCAACAATTATCAGAGGAAAGTCTCCTCAATATTACATCTAAGATCGCAGCGAGCGTACTGTGGGGAAGATTAATGCCTATCGTCAACAAACTTATTACAACTTATCAGTTCAACTTCGGATCCATAGATCCCGATCGTCCCGGTAGACACCTTTTCATCGATTTTAAATGTTCTGATAACCAAGGTAAACTTATGGGCTTAGCAACACCAAAAGCTAATAAGAAGTGGGAAGGATCTCCTTGAGCCGGGGTAAATTAGAAAGCGTACAATTATCATCATCGGACTCAACAACTGGGCAGTATGCGAAATGAATAGATCTGATAGTGTCGTAATAAGACGAGATGCCCTTGACCTTGACCATTCTTTGGGCCAAACATATTAGGCACAACTTCGATTGTCTGGCAACTTTTGTCTGCAATTGTGATTTGAATTTAAAATACCAGATCGGATAAAGTGTTGAACAAGCAACCAATTTCACAAATTATCTGTAAAATCATTCAAGCTGAGCGAGAGCTTTGTTTTGGCCCGTAGCAAGCCAGAAGGATCTTAAAGTTTTGTTTCAGTCTAGCAGTAGATTGCAAGTACTCATTCTTGTATGTTGCCAATCAAAAGACACTTATCAGATTGGTTTGGCATAAATTGTAGAGCTAGATATCGGTCCACTAACTATGAAGAAAAAATGTTCAGCTATTTTAAAATGAGAAATATAAACAGATCACACGTGAGGCGTGTCAAGTTGTTACTCCTTATGAATATTTTATTCAGTATTGTTTGGTATTTCATCACGGAAAGACTTGCGTCTGAACAACGTTTACAATTCGTTCAACTACATAATCGGCTGAGAGTGAGTGTATACGAAAATCGTGGAGAGTCAATTTGACGCCGTTCTTAGCAACTCGATATTAAACGACTTGGCGGATTTTACGTCGATATTTTAAATTGAAAGCGAATAAAATACAGCTTGATCAATAACTGAAACCGTTCGATCCTTCTTAAGCGGCAGCGCTTCGCTCTATAGACTCTTGAAGAGGTCTAAGAAAATCCGACGTTTTCGAGCCAAACTTTGTTCAGCGATGGGCGCCATTTCCCGCTCAATGTATTTGGGATGAAGAGCATCCTGAAATATTCTGGTGCTGCCATTTTATCCCGAAAAACCAACGGTGTGGATTATGCTTCCTCCATATTTCTTCAAAAATGATGTTCGTGAGAACGTAACCATCAACGGCAATCGTTATCGCCTCATATTATGCCTGAAATGAAAGCTCATGATATCGGCGATATTTGCTTTCAACAAGAACATTCTTTCGAACGTTAGTAAACATTCCTCATTAAATTTGAGTTTCCTGTTTTTTTTTTCTTTCCTCTAAATGGATCACCCCTTAAAAAATAATTAGCGCTTTGTAACCGTTTAAGTGACTTTTGTTTTTCAAACAAATGAATGGTCCTGCAGTTTATGCTAAGCCGTCTCCGATTGGCCGATGAACTGTTATGAGGAGATATTATTTCAAGATGACAATTGTCAGGATTTCACCAGAAATTTACTAGACTCATACCAGTTCAAAATGAAATAATAAATTATCATTTCAAATTTAACCAAGATTTGTGTTTTTCTTAAATAAAAAAGTGGTTGAGAAAATGATTTTTTTTGTTTCATTAGCTCAGACATTGCCGGCCTCTGGTGTGCAGTAGGTTTTTAATACTGATCACACCAACATTTAAACTAACTGCAATTTTTTGTTTCTAGATGCGGTCTTTTCCCTTCATTAGATGTCAGTCTACAAGTGAAGCTTTGGAGTAGGAGCTCGGCGGAAACATCGTTTCAGCGGCATTTCACCGACGTAAATAAGAATAAAGTTCCCTATCAGGTTTCAAGATCTCTGCGATAGTACGAAATGTGGAAACTTTTGTCTGCTAATATAAATATATATAAAGTTCCCTTGGATTCTTTCACACTCAAGGTAACTGCTCTGAAAAATAGTTAGCATCATAGTAGAGCTCAAAACAGAAATTCATAGATCCAACAGATCTTCAGTTACTAAGGCATTGAACAGCTGATGTGAAGAGCATAAGCGTATTCAAAGTGATAATATTAATAATCTGTTCGAAACTTTTCGAATAGCTCAAAAAATAAATAAAAGAAGTAAAAAACCGCTCACAAAGGTTTTTCGTCTTTCTAAATATTTTTCTTTATTCTAAGGGAATTCAATATTTAAAACTTTTTTCGGAGCTTTTTTATATCAAAAACTTTCAATAACATTGACTTTTGGAATCAAAATTTATTATGAGTAAATAATTTCGGAAAAAATAAATTAAAAAATAATTCAAATAAAAATTTTAAAAATGAAGTACCGACATCACAATGGATGCTGAAGGGAGGAACTATTATTATGGTTGTAGAAACCAGCGAACACGTTCCTCTCTGGTGTTCTCCAAAATTTGTAAGGTAAAGAGAAAATGCCTAAAAGGAGTAGACAAATCATGCTACCAACGTCGAGAATTTACATGGAACGCGAGAGATTACGTCAATTGGAGATATCAGCACCAATGCCGAACTCAACAATTCCGGCATTGCGAGTATGTCAAATGACAGGAGAGCGAGACACAAATAATGACAAACGCGCCGTCATGCCAATGCCGATGCCAAGTGAGAATAAAAAAGTTTTGAATGCAACAAAAGTGCAAAATGCTGCCCAAACAGAAGACATTTTGGCTTCCAACACCTTTCGCGACCGTGTGCTACCCGAACTTACAGTAAAGTTACAACAACATATGTCAAATAGTGGCAATGATTGTGCTCTTGTTAAACATTCCACAACTGGCAGTAACGTAGAAATGCTTTTCTCCAATATAAACGAAATACCACCTGCGGCTGAAACTTGGCAACGTAGCGATTGCTTCAATGACAACGGAGAGCTGCGTTGTACGAATGTAAGCGTAGAGAAAATTTAAAGAACGAAACTCGTTGCAGCATTAGATGAGATCCAGTTGAAGTAATGGTGAGAGAGAAGAGGAACAAAAGCAATTTTCAACAAAATTTGCGGAAAAGAGAGAAGTGGCAGGAAAGTCGGTTGAAATATAGAATTTCATAATTATTATTGCATTCTTCGAGCATCAGCATCTCTGCTACGAGTATCATACTTACATATACTAGTGTGTGGTTGAATATACAATTGTATAGGTTTTTTTTTTTAATATTACGACCATTGGCCACATCAGTTCCAAATATATGTACGTATTTTCATGCCAGCAACTCGTATATTTAAATTTTTGCATTTATTTACATGCAGACATGTACACACATACATATGTACATATTCATATGCATTTTTCAAGAGGAATTTCATTAAAGACATACGTGTATTCTCCATCCCGTGGGCGAATACTTGTATATACATACCAAGACATACATATATATGTTTATGTGTACGTATTTGTACAAACAACGGTCAACCAGTCCATCATTGCATTGCCTTTCATGTGGACATTTGTGGCATGCAATAAATGCAAAAAGAAAATGAATGATGAGCAACTCATTTTTGTGTGAGCGGAAAAATTGCATTGACAGCTGAGACATTAAGAATTCTAGAAATATTTCAAAATGTGACATATTGATAGGAATATAAGAATAGCGGGTGGAGAAACTGGGGGGTGGTTCCATGTGTGGAAGTTTATGCAAGGAAAGAAAGTTTTCAACCGTCATTCACCTGGGAGTAGCCAGAAATGGTTCTATTCCATAAGGTTCAAGCAGCAGCTCACGACTTCTAGCCTTACACCAAGTATCCTCTGGGTAGCCTAGTCCTGGGAAACATCCGTTTGTAGGCTAGCAAAATGGTGAAGGCGAATCCCATCCGGTTGTACTTATGGTTTGGGACCCACCACATGAAAAAAAAAACCAATAAAAAACTAAAATTTGCCTCAGATGAGGGAACCCTCTATTGATGACGATCCCTGCAAATTTATTAAGCATTAAGATTTTAGGGCATGCGCCTAGAATGTCCGGTCCCTTTATTTGGAAGGTGCCGCTGCCCAGCTGGTTGATGTCCTCATAAACTAAAGGGTAACATTACTGCCGTTCAAGAAGTGTGATGGACGGGCAAAAGACGAAAGAATGTGATATTTACTACAGTGACGTTATAAAGGAGCACAGAAATGGTGTCAAATTCGTGGTGGGAAAGACTCCGTCACCAAGTACTGACATAAACCGCGGCGGATGAATGACTCGTCACAATTCGCCTCAAAACGAAATTTGTTTAACACTACGCTGCGAAGAGACGCATAATTTGCGCCAATGATGTCTTGTATGAGCACGTCGAGCACACTTAAGAACGCTGCCCTCGCCACGCTCATTATTTTTGATGTTGGTCAGGCCAGCACTCGAGTCTACGGCGTCTAAATAGTAGTACACGCTGCTAATAACTCAGCGTTTTAAGAATTTTTAGTTCGATTTCATTCTTCGAATTCAATGAAACTCTAATGTACAAGATATATGTATTCTAAAATATCGTGCCGAAGCGTGGAGGATGACGATATCTGATAAGTCGGCTTTAGGAAGTCTTCGAGAGAAAAGTTTTGCGAACAAATTTATAGTTTTACATCAGCAGGGACTTAAGGCCAGAATCGGAGTGGTACTCAGTTTTAGGAAGCGGTTGAAAAAGTGATGGTATTTTACTGGCATTATTTTCTTAGACATGAGGTTTTCAGGAAGAACAAATCTACTTTGATTTAATTTATTAATTATTAATTAAACTCTAAGTTACTAAGTGAGTTTATTGGATTTCGAAATGTTAGAATTCCAAAGATCTCAGGAAAAAGTTTAAATCTCTTACATTATCGACACAGACATTGGTAGGAGTGTATACCTACTCATGTAGTTATTCGCTTCACCTGAATTAATTCACCTTTAGCAATTTGAAAGGTGGAACTCAAAATTTTACTGACATAATTCATACATCCATACATGCATCACTGCAGAGAAAAGGTAGACTAGTATGTATAAATTCTAGCTAAATACTACTCTGCTACTAGTTTATTGTAAACCAGATTGATACTAGTATTCAACCCATCAAGCGTTCGTGTTTTCGTTAACAACTATATTATTGTGTTACGTTATTTGATTATACAATAAAATCAACGATTATTAGTTAATTTGTGCTGCATTTCTCTTATATATTCGATAGGTCTTTTCGGTTAATGAGCCAAAGAATAACGGTAAATGCAACTCCAGCAAAAGGTAAAAAAAACTCTCTCAGAAAACCTATCGGCAGATTCTAATCCTGAAAATAATACGACCAAATATAATGGCTTTTATATATTCACATAAAGGGTGATTTTTTAGCTCTTATCTTTTTTGGCAACACTGGCTTAAACAGCTGACGCCGTTACAAATTACCGCGTGACTGCTTGAGGGTAAAGAGTTAAAAATATCACACTGGTATATAGACTAGAATTAAACGAGTATTTTTCCGCAAAAACTGGACTAGTTTGCACTGGTTTTTTGTGAATAAATTCTTAGCAATTTGTCTCATAAGTAACTAGAAACAACAACCACATATGTTATTTTGTTAAATTGAAAAAAAATGTGAACAATCATAATTAAGCCTCAAATACATAAATCCATATTTGGTCCGATTCCTGAAAAACCAAAGAGTACCAAATATCAAGTAAAGTGAACCATAAATGCGTTTTCTCAAATAAGTTAGTCCCGAGTCGATTTCCCGAGCAAGGAGTTTTTCAAAATCATACCCAAACCCACCTGAAAACTCACAAAGAAAACTAATTAAAATCGGTTCAACCCTATCTAACGCCGAAATTAATTGAACTGGGTTTTGACTGGTCTGAGGCGAACTAGTTCTATTAACTGGTATCAACGTACCAGTATTTGAACTAGTATATATGTGGATTGGAATTTAACTAGTATGCGGCTGATGCATAGACTTACAATTGACATTTCTTAGGACACTGACGTGCTAAAGTTACTAGTTGCTTTCATGGAGAATATATGGAAGATGAACTAGTTGATGCAAAATGATAAACTAGTTGAATACTAGTTAGCAACTAGTATTTTTTATTGCAGGTATACTTATATACTTACAAAATATATTAACAACAAAATACCATGTCCTTCATAACTAATAAAATTTCATAAATTCTAAAACCTTTCAACAGCAAATTACGTACCAGCACACAGCCTCATACATTACAATTATGCTTACGTGTACACCTACATACACACACACTCGTACGTATGATTGTATATGTGGCTGAGCTGTGAATTTGTGCGCCAAGTGTGAACTGTTACATAATTTATCAGTGAAAGTTGGTAGCAGAGCAGCAGCTACGGCACGTCACAAGTGCATTGCGATACTAAAACATACTCATACTCACAGACATACTTTCGTAAAATTATAACAATGCTCATATGTACGAGTATGAGTGTTTGTATGCACATGGTACTTAAGCAGATATTCATTTTTCATACAAACACAACACAAACAAACATATGAATGTATGTGTATACATTTTTAGTTTGTTTGCGAAACAAAGAAACAAGCCACAAGTGGAAATGGTTGTACAGAAACAGCAACAACAACACTGAGAAATACCACCATCAAAACAGCAGCAGACGCCACCACCAACACTTTGGCTTGGCATCGAATAAATGACCTCAATGTGTCATGTGTAAATGAATATAAATTGCACTTGAAGTTGAACAACGCCGGTAACAGCCGACAATAAGCAGTTACATCAACATTACCAACAACAACAACAACATGAACAACATGAACAAGAAAAAAAAAACAAGAGCCTCAACAACTTTATAAGTAGTGCAAATAGCAAATAGATACAGAGCTAATAGCCATAATTTCCTGGCAAAAAAGCTTGTTTGTGTGCGTGTGTGTGGGCTACCTGATGGTCATGTCAATAAAGTAAAGAAAAAGCAATAAAAAATTTACTACCAACATTTCGTACATATGTACGTGCACGCATACAAATGTAGACTAAGTTTTTTAAATTCATCGGAATCAGTGCGGTGGTGTAGCCTTTGTGAGGGTGTGTGTGTTTGGGGCTTTTAAACAGGCTCACGCCGTTTTGTGGTCAATATGTTTCTTTGTATATACATACATATGTATATATATATAAAAACTGAGTGGTAAATTGGTGGTTAATGGTTTCATACCCTGCGCTCGAGTACTAACTCAACAAACTCAAGCTTCAAAGCCAGATAAAGGAGAATGGAGGCAAATATTCTCCCTAAATTGAATGTAAACTGTTTGTGGGCAACCGTTATAATATTGGGGTGAATGCTAAAGAAACGATGGCACAAATTCTACATCTGAGAAAAAAAGAGATTTTTGAGTGCAGAAAACATAAATATGGGTAATAAAAAAATTATTCATGGCTTTTATCAGTAGATGGTGTTGAAGCTGTCAATTCGGGAAACACTGGTTCGATTGTGTCCAACTAGCATTTGCCTGGAAGATGACATTTAAAGCAATATTTCACGTAAAGAGAGTTCTATAAACCCTCGTTTCTGTGCAAATAAATCACTCAGGTAACACTTTGAAATCGTTACAATCAGGCTGGCTGCTCAAAGAAACCCAATGTTTGGTTGTTGACATATGGATGAACGCAAAAAAGCTTGTTGGGCCAAATAATAAAGAGAGAAATGTTTCTGCGGCAAAACCGAAACATTTGCGAAGCAACTCATCATCGGCGAGGAAAAGGCACAAAAAATTAAAATTTAGTAGGGAAGGTTTATTGACTTCGAGAGAATATTCTTCGACATTTAATTTTCGAAGATTATCTCTTTCAAATGTTGGCCGCGTGGTCCATCTGTTGAGTCCAATTTTCGATGACTTGTTTGAGCATTTCGACTGGTAACTGTCGAATGACACGCGTTATGTTTTGTTCCGTGGCATGAATCGAGGCGGGATTGACCAGACTATGCGGTCTTTACATATCCCTACAGGAAGAAGTCGAGTGGTAGAGTATCACACGATCTAGGTGGCCATGGACTGGCCCAAAACGTGAAATTATCTGCTCACTCAAGTTTTCTCTCAATAAATCCATTGTTTGTTGCGATGTCCCCTCAAATATCGCCGAGATCATGAGCTTCAATTTTAGGCATATAATGAGGCGATAACGGTTGCCATTGACGGTTACGTTCTCACGGGCATCATTTTAGAAGAAATATGGAGGAACCATAAACCACACCGTTATTTTTTCTGGATGAAATGGCAGCACCAGAATGTTTCA